AAATCGGTTTACACGTAATTCAATGGCCAGTGAATCAATGTGGGGGACTATTATGTCGATAAGATCAGAATCGTCGAAGGTAATACACAGAGCTTCACGTGGCCTTTTTCCTGGCGTTAGTTGCTTTTGCGATACTGGGTGTGATTGAATTGCATGCACGGTTGGAGGCGCTGGCAAGCTGTATATCATATGAATGACGCCGAGCGGGGGCGAATCCTGCCGCAGTGCAACTGTTTTGGTTGCGCTCTTTCGGACATGTTGCCGGAGCCGACCATCTTGCACCAACTCCTTAAGGTGGTCTTTCAAAGCATAGCAACTGTCGGTGTCATGGCCATGATCTTTTTGATATTTACACCGCCTATCCCGTCTTCTCTTATCGGGAGGTCCTATCACTTTCGATGGCCATTTGAAGGACAGAAGGTGTTGAACTTTGGACATGACTGAGCTGATTGGTTCGCCCCTTTTTTCTGGGCTCCGGGGATAATGAGTCGGAGTCTCTATCAGCGTCTTGTTGCCGGGCTCGAGATCGTCTACCACCTGCTTTCAGAGGTCGTTCCGGATCTTGGTGCACGGCTTGTTTGGACTTTGCCACTTCCAAGGCCAAATCCTGATGGAGACGCTCGTTCTCAGCGATCATGTTCTCCAATCTTTGCTCATTTTGCTTTGCCTATTTCATGATCGCTTGTATTGCCTCATGCTCTGGAGTCGAAGGTGAGGCAAAGTGTAAAACGCGTCTTGTTGGGATAATCTCCGGTTCATGCATGTTTGTTGGACTGAAATCGTCTATCTGCGTTGTTTCATCAGTGACTATAGGAGGGTCCTCCGTCACGCCCGCAATGGATATGCTTGAATATTCCCACAGACGGTGCCAATTGTGGAGAAGTGATTTGGAAATACTCTTCTAATCTTGGGGGACGCTCGTGATCCGCTGATAGTTACTTGAAAAGGAATAAACACTCTGGTCGGGGGTGCCGGAATTAGCACTCCGACGGACAAGTCAGTCTCAACACTCAAGATTACTTATATTCTAAATTGAGCACAACAATTCTCACATACCTTTCTTAGTCTGTTGTTCCTTTATTTATACTCGTTTCCTGGGCCTCGGGGCTAGGTTCACTTTTCACTCATTATCCTTTTATTTACTTGGCTCCATAGTTCAGTATCTACTCGGCTTGTCTGTTTTATTCGGCTTCTTGATCGTGCAGGAAAGAGCCGAGTAATATCTGTCTTCTAGAGTACGCTTCTGATTTTTTCAATTATCTGGCCCCCATAATTGCCCCCCAAACACCCCTACTAGCACCAGTTAGTCGGCGTGTTTGGCTTCTAGTCTGGGAAGTCAAAAATTCGGCGGTTAATCCTCTCCCCGATGCGTGTCAGAACATGTACATGCTTTTTGGTCATTGTAACACTTTCCCGCCGCATTCGTGCTTCTCTCGCATTTACCACGATTTGAAACTTCAGTCCCTTCGAATGCACGTCTTTTTGCATATTTGAGCCTCCTGGATTGCCAGTCGGTATCTCTTCTCTGACTCGCGTTTTCTGCAACTCATCTCCGTCTCTTCTTGTCTCCTTTGCTTTTCGTAAGTTTTCTTCTCTTTTCTTAGAACTACTCCTAGATAACTCTTTACAAGTGTGATTGGTGGTTGTTGCTGATTTTTTATCTTCATTCCAGCTCCCTTTTATAGTTGACTCTTGGCTTGGCTCTTGGTTCTGATCTCCCTTTAATCTTTGCTTGTCTTCATGTTTATCCTACTATTTTAAGTACTATTTTTTGATTTCTGCCTTAATTTTCTGTTATCATCTTTTGTAGCCTTCTTTTTTCAACCCAACCTTATGCCATGCTAGCTATTTTAGCCAACCTTGCCATGTCATCCTTACCATGTCATTGCTATGACCTGTCGCTGGAAGATTCCTAAATTTTAGTATCAATAGCTACATTTGGGCAGATCCGAATGTGGAATGTCCAACCAAACGTGGTGAATGTAAAATTCTTATGGTGTATTTTTCAAATGTAACATATATGGAAATCACGAGATTAAAACAATGTGATATACCTAGCATAAACCATGGGCAAATGTGCCAATTCCCATATAATGGGACTTCTGTGTTCATTAAAAAAAAGATGGGACTGACTAGTCCACAAGTTCTCCTTTTGAGGTTTATGAGTCAATCGCCCTTAGTAAAACACCTCGTGGATCCCAAGTAATATAATGTCCCATCATTTTTGACAAGATTTTAAGTGCAACTTTTTCTTAAAAAAACAAAAAAATTTAATATTACAAATTGCTCTCTTTTCCATATCCATTTAGAATGGTGTGTGAACCATATTATTTAAAATTAAGAGTCATACTGGTTTTTTTTTATTTTTTATTTTAAATAAAAGGATCACGAGATACGACTTTATGTTATACAAGAATTTTGTCTAAAATTTTATTTGTATGTCATTAATAAAATTTTATTTGTATATCATTAATCAAAAACTAAATAAAAATCAATACCAAGCAATTCAACAATACGGCCAGAACTATGAACACACAGATGAAACTGTAAAATTTGCATTTATTGAGCAATGAACTATCTTAAAACTTTTAACAGTACAAACAAAATCCAAAAGTTAAGGTAACTACAGGGAAGAAGAAAAAGAAAAGCTGCTGTATATTGATTCTTCTACTCCCAGTCCTACAGCATCCAAAAGATCCGAAACAAGAAGCTCCCAACTCAGTTCACCTAACAAGATTTGCAGTCTCATTTTTGTGAAGAAGGTTTTGGGCTAGCAAGTTGCTCGAGGTCCTTTTCCTTTGCATACCAGTCTGGTATTATCTTTGCAGCATGGGGATAAATATCTCCATATGCGTTCCTGATCGTTGATTCTGCAACTGTAGTAGCATTTGCAATATCTGCACACATATTGCTTCAATCAAGTCCATGTATACATTCAAGATGATCTTTGATATTCACATCCCTACTAATCAAGCCAAAACTGAGCATGGATCAAGCACTGCGTTGGTTGGGCACACACACTGACCAATACAACATCAATGCGTGGTCAGTTTTGAACGGTCAATGAGGCCTAAGAATCAATTTTCTTCTAGGGTAATATCATTATTATTATTATTATTATTATTATTATTATTATTATTATTATTATTATTATTATCATTATTTATTTATTTATTTATTTATTTTTTTGCTACATCTCGAAGGTATGGTCAAGCTGGGCAATCATTTTCTCTATTTGTTCAACCGCCAGGATGTGGTGTTGGCCTCTATTAGTTACGTCTTGACCATCTTTCAATCCTACTCTATACCTAGCTGCCACTAATTGGCTATCCGTGATGACCTCCATGTCTTCCCCAGACTCGGGGAAGCCAGTGGGGACACTTGTCTCTTCAATAGGCCTCTTACATGGGTCCCAAAGAAGGCCGGACTCGTCAGCAGTGTTACTGCTGGTATCAGTAGTCTCAATTTTCTCAGTTTTCTTCTTCACCATTACTCTAAGTTAGAATGGTCCCATCGGGCATGCCAAATTATGTTAGCAAAATTCGGTTTAGGCCCAATCGACAGTGATTGATTGACAGACTTAAACAAACTTTAATAAACCCAAAAAGGTTAGGTTTTGTGGTTGAGTTCTATGCCTTAAACAGATTAATGACTTCCCTAGAGCTAATTATGTAAAGAAGGATTCGAATAGAAAAGAATATGTATTTATTCAATTAAATTGTCACTTCCTATCAGTTACAAGGACTCAAACAAGAATAAAGAAATGAAAAAATACAGCAATGGATAGAAATAAGAGAAGTGGGGATTAGAAAAAACAACTAATTTAATCTACTCCTAAAATGGCTAACTTAGAACTACTCCTAGATAACTCTTTACAAGTGTGATTGCTGGTTGTTGTTGATTTTTTATCTTCATTCCAGCTCCCTTTTGTAGTTGACTACTGTCTTGGCTCTTGGTTCTGATCTCCCTTTATTCTTTGCTTGTCTTCATGTTTATCCTACTATTTTAAGGACTATTTTTTGATTTCTGCCTTAATTCTCTATTATCATCTTTTGTAGCCTTCTTTTTTCAACCCAACCTTATGCCATGTCAGCTATTTTAGCCAACCTTGCCACGCCATCCTTACCATGTCATTGCTATGACCTGTCGATGGAAAATTCCTGAATTTTAGTATCAATAGCTACATTTGGGCAGATCCGAATGTGGAATGTCCAACCAAACGTGGTGAATATAAAAATCCTATGGTGTATTTTTCAAATGTAACATATATGGAAATCACGAGATTAAAATAATGTGATATACCTAGCATAAACCATGGGCAAATGTGTCAATTCCCATATAATGAGACTTCTGTGTTCATTAAAAAAAGATGGGACTGACTAGTCCACAAGTTCTCCTTTTGAGATTTATGAGTCAATCGTCCTTAGAAAAATACCTAGCGGATCCCAAATGATATAATGTCCCATCATTTTTGACAAGATTTTAAGTGCAACTTTTTCTTAAAAAAACAAAAAAATTTAATATTACAAATTGCTCTCCTTTCCATATCCATTTAGAATGGTGTGTGAACCATATTATTTAAAATTAAGAGTCATACTGGTTTTTTTTTTTTTTTTTTTTTTTTTTTTTAAATAAAAGGATCACGAGATACGACTTTATGTTATACAAGAATTTTGTATAAAATTTTATTTGTATGTCATTAATAAAATTTTATTTGTATATCATTAATCAAAAACTAAATAAAAATCAATACCAAGCAATTCAACAATACGGCCAGAACTATGAACACACAGATGAAACTGTAAAATTTGCATTTATTGAGCAATGAACTATCTTAAAACTTTTAACAGTACAAACAAAATCCAAAAGTTAAGGTAACTACAGGGAAGAAGAAAAAGAAAAGCTGCTGTATATTGATTCTTCTACTCCCAGTCCTACAGCATCCAAAAGATCCGAAACAAGAAGCTCCCAACTCAGTTCACCTAACAAGATTTGCAGTCTCATTTTTGTGAAGAAGGTTTTGGGCTAGCAAGTTGCTCGAGGTCCTTTTCCTTTGCATACCAGTCTGGTATTATCTTTGCAGCATGGGGATAAATATCTCCATATGCGTTCCTGATCGTTGATTCTGCAACTGTAGTAGCATTTGCAATATCTGCACACATATTGCTTCAATCAAGTCCATGTATACATTCAAGATGATCTTTGATATTCACATCCCTACTAATCAAGCCAAAACTGAGCATGGATCAAGCACTGCGTTGGTTGGGCACACACACTGACCAATACAACATCAATGCGTGGTCAGTTTTGAACGGTCAATGAGGCCTAAGAATCAATTTTCTTCTAGGGTAATATCATTATTATTATTATTATCATTATTTATTTATTTATTTTTTTGCTAAGGTAACAAGGGAATTGGAGCCCCTAAAATAGGTTGAGAGACGAACACCTACAGGCTAAAATATGAATGAAAACTAGAAATCTGTATTACCCACTTTCATTCATATTGCCAGTAGCGAGAGCAACTCCAATCTTTCATTGAATTCAAATTTTTTTTAGAGAAAAAAAAGAAAAAAAAAAGAAAAGAAAAGAAGAGAGCTAACAATGAGTTCCAATCATTTCAACTAACCTTTATCAAGGCGAAGGAGTTGCAAATATTTCTTGAAATGAGAGATAAACCAAAGCCTTCACTAATTTTTATTTTTATTTATTTTTTCAGTCACATAATGTTACCAAGTATTAAGAAGAGTATGGATTTGAGATAGTTAAAAGAGGTTTTTGGGATAAGTTGAGAACTTTTTAAAAAGATCTAATGGAAAAGAAGAAGAAAAGAAAAGAACAAAAGGATTAAAGTGTTTCATACCAAATCAAGCCTTTTAACTAAATTTTCACTCAAATTTGATGAAAAATAGAGAGTCAAGATTGGAAATGCCCTAAGAGGCTAACATATGGTTAATCATAAAATCATATGTTTTCCCACAATCGTAACATGTGTCGATCCTGCTATTGTTTGGCATAAAAAATAAAAAAAAAATTAAAAAATTCCAAAACAGAGTCTATCATGTCTTAAACATCCTCATTTATAACAAACAAGACATGGATTTTTTAAACCTTGCAGCAGAGGCTTGTTTTTACTTGACAGTCGAGTGATCATGTAAATAATTGCAGCTGCAATGGATATAGGGCTCCTTCTGTAATGAAAAGTTATCCAGTAAATAATAGTTAGGTAAAACTGACTATCCAAAGTATGTATAACCAGTATACAATAAAAAGTGATTGTGCCAAAGGATCAAAGAGCAGCAGTAAGGTTTCTGTTAGATCTTCATCAACTAAAGGGACCATGGAGGTATCTGTGATATTCGTGTTCAGTCATAGACGAAGCTAGAAATCTCGTTTAGAGGGTCAAAGTAAATTTAACAAAAAAAAAAAAAAAAAACAAATTAAAAAAAAAAAAAAAAAAAAAAAAAAAAAACAAATTTCTAGCTCCTGGAAAATGATAACTTCTTTGAAAAATTAGTAAGTCAATCACTAAATCTATATAAACCACTTCTTGATATACTAATTGCAATTAATTGATATAAATTTTTAGCAATATACTTAGGATTTTGATGTGTAATTTATTAGAAAAATCATTTTAAGGCATTTTATTGATTAATATAACTTATATAAATAAAGGATGACAAATGATGATATATTTACATATCAAGTAGAATTCATTATTTAATAGATGAAATAGTTTGAGATTATGCCATACATATTGTAGAAGTACTCATGAAATAGAAGGTCAATAAAAGAATTTTCAAAAACTTAGGGGGCATTCTATATAAATCGAAGAAATAATCATAAATTTTAATAAGAATAAAAAATAAATTGAAAAACTTATCTTCATCCCTGCATACACTCGGTAGCATGGTCAAATCTAGAGACCTGACTATTTCAAAAATTAAATAAAAAATTATTCTTTGCCCCAAACTCAATAGAAACCCTGGTACATGTATTCAAAACCTCTTCATGAAGCACATTCCATACTTATGCCACATCTACAAGCATTTAGTCCCGTAGAAGCACTACTACATGATGCTAGAGATGTCTGAGAAGTTCTCACACATGAGAAGAAAAATCGATTTGCAGTATGAGGTGAACATAGGCCAGGATGGGCCTAGACTAGATGAAATGAAGTGTGTACTGAATTAGTAACCTAATCACAAGACTGTCTTGTCCCTGGATTTCCTCCAATCTTAATTTAAACATCTCAATTAGATATTCATTTGTTTTATTAATTTCTCGCCACTTGGAAAACAAAAGTACCTTAATCTCCACATCTGATTCAACAGGAGTAATTTGATTTAGTTCCTCATGGAAGTACTCTGATCTCAAAATTTGACAATCATTGGAACACAAAAAAGAACTGGAATAATTTCAAATATAAATGTTAAAGATGTCTATAACAACTCTAAATTTTATTTTATTTTTTCACCTTCTCTGCATAGCATTACTCTAGTCACTAGCTGTAGAGGTTCAGAAATTAAGGCTCAAATTAAGTATGGACCTAAGTGCTGAGGTCGCCCCTTTTGTGCGACCAAGAATGACTAAAGGAGCATGGGCTACAGCTCAAAGGAAGTGGGCCAACAGTGGGCTGAAGCAAGTCTGACCTACCAAAGATTTGAATAGACTCCACGAAGGAAAATGTCTAAGGGAAGTTGCAGAGGGAACACTTACAGTGGTCAAGTTGCTGAGGCATTTTGCCTTAGCGCCGCCATTATCAATATTGTCGGTTTCGCTGCCATCTGAAGTTGCTAAGAGAAACGGAAAACAAAAATAACTAAGTTGTAGAGGCAACACTTGCAGCGGTCAAGTTGTAGAGGTATTTTGTCTCAGCGCCGCCATCCCAAGCATTGTTAGTGCTGCCGCCATTCCAAGTATTGTCGGTATCGCCATCATCCGAAGTTGCTGAGGGAAATAGCAACCGCAACAACTACAGTCGCTGTAACTAACTTGCGAAGGGAACACCCCACCAAGGTGATAGCAACCTTTGGGAGAAGCTTCCCCTCCACAAGTGGAGGCTAATGCTTAGTGCTGATAGCAGGCCCTAAGGCTTACTAGTTGGAGCTGATAGTAGGCCCATAGATACCACTATACAACGGTGACCTCGCGAAGATGGGAGCATGGTAGTCCGAGTACAAGAGACTCCCTTTCCATTTACCCACGTCATGGGCCTACCTTAGTTGCACAAGTAGGACCAAGGAAGCCCGCTTGGGCTTGGTATTAAGGGGCAACATGGCTGACAGTAGGCTTAGTTGTGGCCTTCGCCTTGGGAAGCTGGAGAGTTTGTGGTTAGGTGGCTAAGGATAGAGGCTTCGCTGAGGTGAACACAAACATAGCCGATAGTAGGCCAATGAAGTTCTAAGAATGCATGAACTGGCCAAATAGAATTGAGAAGGCAAGTGCAACAAAAAGGCTCATCGCTGCAAGTGCACTTGTGGAGGTTCAAGCTAAGAAGGCAAGTGCAGCGGCAAACACACCCGCCGCAATTGCAATTGGTGAGGCTCAAAATGTAATTGCAGCGCCAACCACTCCTGCCGCAAGTGCACTTGTTGAGGCATCTGTGCCAAACAGATAGTACACATTATATGCAGAGGGACGCGTGGCACCTTCAGCCTGGTGGCTTAAGGTTGAATATTCCATGTGATCCTTAGGGACACATGTCTTCTCTCTATTTGGCCACTTGGTGTCCTCTTGGTACCAAGGAAAAGTCTATAAATAGGACCCAACTTCTTAAGGTCCTAAGGAGGATTATTGGGGATTTAGGGGAGATGCTGCCTATTTGTGCGCTGCCATCTATTTCTTCTTGACCTACTTGCTCCACCCTCACCTAGCTACTCATCCTCCAGTCATTCCACCATTGTTGGACCATTAACATAGTTTTGCCTCTCTAATCACTATTCACATCAAACTCTTCCCTACATTTCTGATGGCTCTACTGGGGAGGCTGCTTTGTTAATGGTTCATACCCGCAGTGGCTTGCATACTTCATTGGAAAAAATGGCAGAGGATGAAGTTTAGTAACCCCCATGGCAGCAAGACTCTTCCAATGGTAGAGCAGCACATGTTGAGGCCCATGACCACAGTGTTGTGGTCAAGGCAATCTAGTCACTTCAGGATACATAGAGGGAAATCCTGATAGCTTTACAAACGCTCACCGAAGTGATTATGTCCATGGCATCCAAACAAGCTCCAGCGTAGGCACCTCTGCTTGTAACAGTCCCAAACCCAGTACCTAATCTGTTCCCTAAGAATCAGGCTCCGACCCAGGTGCTGCTTGCAGTACCTCAGGCGAATGGTACGACTGTTGGCTCAACTACCCAGGAGCAGATTGGTCCATTCCAGTCCACTCACTTTGTTACTGTAGCGGACGTACAAACTATGCTCGAGTAAGAGCGTAGCAAGAAACAACTACCATCTCTTCCCGTTTCGGATGTGAAACCTCTATACTATTCGAAGATATTAGTCATGCTATACCCAACTAGGTATATAGTACCCAAGTTTGTAAAGTTTGATGGGAAACAAGGTAATGCTAGAGAACATGTGATAAGATTCATTGAAATTCTTAGTGTCCATGGTAGTGACCACTCTTGGTGCCTTCGGGAGTTCTCCAAATCACTTACTAAAAAGGCTTACAGCTGGTATGTGAACTTGGTCCCCAACTCGATCAAGAGTTTGGAGGAGATGGTGAACAAGTTTTATACGAAGTTCTTCCAAGTCCAAAAGAAAGTTACAACCCTCACACATGGGCAAGATGTCCAAAAAGAAGGTGAAGATATATTGGACTATGTCAAGTGGTTCCAAGATAAGGCCATTGATTGTCATGAACTAGTGGATGAGGCCCACTTAGTCAGCATATGTGCGGAGGGTGCCATACACGACTACAAAATCTTCTTGGTGAACCATAATCTGCCTATCTTTTCAGCCCTAATTGAGGTAGTAAGAAATCTCAGTACCACGGGTCCTCTATCGTTTCGAAAAAAGATTATCTATGTGGTAGTCTCTAATATTCAAATCTGGCGCAATGGTGGTGTTGATCCCCATATAAAAGTCTTGTGATTCCCCAAGATTAGCTGGCACCTCAGAAAAGTGAGTAGGGGTACAGATCAGCAAGTTACTCAGAAGTTGCTGACACAACTGGGTCAGAAGTACCACAGCAGCAATAGCACCAGGAGTGGCCAAGTTGGCAGCTGCCTCTACAAGTTGAGTCAAATTTGGGGGGCTCACATTAGAAGCAATCGTTACATCTTCACCTCATTCAACAACTGGGATATTGGAAATTATGGTTTACTGACCTAGATGAGACTCAATGGATTGAGAAGAATTCCCAGATCTGGCTTCCAGTGGGGGTGGCTCAACTTCAAGTGGCTCTCTTACTCTACGCTCTTCTCTCAGAGTTTCAGGAACAAAATCCTCCCCACCAACGGTGGAATGGTCAGAATGAATGGGATCAATAGGGTTTGGGGCCTCAACTCCCTCAGTAATCATACCACCCTCTATAACTTCTACGGTATGAGGGACTTGTCCGCTTTCAGTAGGAGGTATATTATGATCTTTTTCCATATCGCCAAAAATGTATGGAAGAGTTCAATGTGAGTAGTGATTAGAGAGGCAAAACTATGCTAAGATCCAATAATGGTGGAATGACTGGAGGATGAGTAATTAGGAGATGGTGGCACAAGTAGCTCAAGAAGAAATAGATAGCAGTACACAAATGGGCATCATCTCCCCCCAAATCCCTAATAATACTCTCATGGACCTTGAGAAGTTGGGTCCTATTTATAGGCTTTTCCTTGGTACCAAGAGGACACCAAGTGGCCAAATAGAGAGGAGACATGTGTCCCTAAGGATCACATGGAATATTCTGCCTTGAGCCACCAGGCTGAAGGTGCCACGCGTTCTTTGGCATGTACTGTGTACTATTTGTTTGGCACAGATGCCTCAGAAGTGCACTTACGGCGGAAGTGTTTGGCTTTGCAACTACCTTTTGAACCTCAGGAAGTGCAGTTGCGGCATGAGTGTTTGCCGTTGCATTTGCCTTCTTAGCTCGAACCTCAGCAAGTGCATTTGCAGCGGTGAACCTTGCTGCTGCACTTGCCCTCAGTTCTATTTAGCCAGTACATGCATTCTCAAGACTTTAGCTATGTCC